TGAAAAAGTATTATGCGTGATTTCGTGCAGATTTTAGTCGTCTACCGTAAATTGATTCAAGTCGACAAATGTGTACCACATTAGATGCTCCAGTCCATTCAGAAGACCCTGAAACGCGCCTTTTTTTCTCATTGAAATAGTGATTTTTAATTTTCTACTTCTTATTCTGTGAAACCCATCTCATGAAATTCGAATCAAAACTCATGATAAAATGGGTAAAAACTTTTTTTTTTAATGTTAAAAGTTGGAAGTCGAAAGTTCAAGCCGAAAGCTAAACCAATTTTTAGTGAAAAAGTCTAAAGCCGAAAGTTGAAAGCTGCTCGCATTCAAGCCAAAAGCCTAAATCTAAAGTTTTATTTTCAAAGTCGCAAGCTAAAAGCCAAAAACTCAAGCTTTATCGTTCGGCTTTCAAGCCCTGGGCACGGCAAAAATCGGGGCGGAAAAAAACCGCCACGAATTTTTGCCGTTCGTGTGAAAGAAGCCTTTTACTCTTTCTTTGTTTATTCTACGTACGACAGTTTTTAAAATAGCTTAACCACAAATGTATTTTCTCTCTCTCTCTTTTCACAGTACCTGGCTATTCATCGCTAACCAGAACCTCGTCTACCTGTGCATCGACGAACGAGTGGAGAAGAGAAGGAGAAAAAAAACGTAAAAAGGTGGAGGTGGAAATGTGGAAATGTTGGACGAAGAACGATCGACGACGAACAACACACAACCGTCCTCAGTAAGTCAGTAGTAGTGCATTGTACAGATACCCACCATCTTAGTGTTTCGTTAGTTTTTTTTTTACTACAAATTCAATTTTTTTACTTTTATATGTGACATAATTTTCGTGAGGTACATCCCTTTGAATTCCGAAGTATTTGCTCAAATCGAAACGAACGTGTTCAGTGTCCTTTACAGGTAAATGCAAAGGTAAATGTGTTAGCATTCGAAGTTGTATTTCCAGTTTTTTTGAGAATCTTGGTGAAGTGTCGTTGCACCAGTGATAACATCCGATGATATAAACGTTTTGGTGGCAAATTCGCGAGTGTTTGTGTGCTATCGAAGAGGAACCTCAGTTTCTGGTTTACCTTTTCTACCAATATTTTAGAGGTCTGCCATGCAGCAGAAGCCATCCAGCATCTGTAACGCCCAAAATTCGTGAAACATGTATTCGCTGCCACTATGGTCGTGGCTAGCCATCGTAACTGTGTTCCTGGTGGCTGGAGAGGTGCAGAGCCAAGCCAGATCTACGACCTCGTCGGTGGGTGAGAAGACTGAGTTCAAGCAGGGCTTGATCACCGGTGAAAAGGTTCGATGGGAAAAGCAGCAGAGCCCCTATCTGGTACGCAGAGATATCATCATCGGAGAAGATGGAGAGCTGATCATCGAGCCTGGTGTCTCGGTGTTTTTGCACCAACTGTTGGAATCACTGTTTATGGAGTGCTGACAGCGAAGGTATGTTGTGTGTTTCATATTTGGGGTTCACTATACACATAGAGAGGATTGGTTGGTGTCAAGTGAGGAATATTGCTGGTAAATACAACAAATTGCATTTATTAGATGAATCCTCTATAGCCCCTCAGATGAGAGGGTTGGTAGAGCACAAGTCAATAAGTGGGTTCAGTCAATACAGAACAAGAAATTGTGTCATTTGTATGTCTTCGTTCTTGCTGAATTCAGGGCTGTAGTGTGAGCAAAATGTTTGCAAGAGGGCAA